TTCGCGCACACATGCATGCTATAAATTTCATCGGCGCGATTATATAGCTCTCTTAAAATTTTTGGAAGCTCGAGGTTAGCGCGATCAGTGAGGGTCGGCTAATGAGTGAAGTAAGAGGTGAGTTGATGAGGGAGTTGGGCGCCCCGACGAGCTGGTGCCAAGTGTGTGGGGTTGACGTGTAGGCCACGGCGGATTGTGGCGCACGAGCGAACCTGACGGGCGCAGGCGGAACAAGCGGGGTGACAACTTCGTTGGTAGGTGCGAGACGACGGACTGTCCTCATCGGAGAGAGAGAAAGAGAGAGAGGAAACGGGCGGGTGTGGGATTGCAATCTTCTTGGTCTTAACTCTGGTGTACAAATTTTGGCTCTGGGCGAGACGCCCTTGTTTTGCATTTTAACCTTCTTTTCGGCTTCGTGGGATGTGTTCTCCCACTTTCACTTTTTGCATTCGCTTGATTAGATGGGTCTGATGATCTTGTAATGCTGGATAACTGATGTTTTGCATGTAACCTTGAATCACCCCGTGCTCACAACGCCGGCCTATTCTCACTCATATGATTGTTAGGTGAAAGGAATAAACACTGTTATGATGCTTTGATGAATGTCTGGGTACGCAACTGCTTTCTGCTCGAACCAGAGTTGTCTGAAAGGCCGATTGCATGAACCCCCATTCTGCATAAGTGATTAGCTGATGGATCAATCCACAACGGACTAACCCCGCGAGCCCGCGTGTAAGTACGATCTGACGAATACGGCTTACACGAGCACTCACGAGGCCGGCCCGCAACCCCGAACGGACTTAGCCCGACTGATCTTGACAGGAATGATGGAATCCCTATCTGTGATACGGGTCAGGGCGAAAGGGGATTGCTGAGTGTAATTGCTTTGAGGGATTAGCTGCAAGAACTGAGTCGGTGCTTACTGCCCCTTTGGCTGCTTGCGTAGATCAGGATCGGGTCCGCTCACGTGTCAGACAACGTCCGTCTGCGGACGCGCCATCTACACGCGTGCCTGCAAAAGCTAGCCACGATCCCGCCCCGTAGGAAGATGTGCATGCAGGAATTCAGTTGAACGCGATATGGCGATAAATTCTCCCTTCTGGATCACCGATCGCGAAAGCCTGAGGAACCCAGAATACCGAGCGTATTGGGAAAGGGAACAGATCCGACGACAACAAACGTGACAACAGTGCCACCTACGGAACTCGGGACATCTCGAGTACCCCTGCCGGACTGAAAATGAGCGACTGTGCAGGGGCGATTTCCAGCTGGCAATCAACCGAGACTCGCGGATTCCCGATTATCCCGACAGCCGGAACCAGCAATACCTTCTAACCCCAGGCTTCGTTGCCATTACCACTAACTTCCCTCCCTACTATACCGTCCTCCCCTACCATCAGCTACTCGTGGTGCCCTGGGATTCCATAGCCCGGTTCTGGCCCCGTCCGCCGTGCTCCGAGTGTTGGCATCCCGACGAGCGTCGGCAGGCGGGGGTCGCGCAACGAGCCTATCTCAGAACTGAGCGACGAGAGTCCGACTCGTCTTCATCAGACCCCGAAACATGAGACGGCCGGCAGTGGTACGAGCACTCCTACAGAGACACCCGTAGCACCCCACCCCGGGTCAGACAGCACGGTCGGTCATCGCCTCAACTCTGAGCAGAAGACACTTGCACTCCTGCCCCCGAAACTTGCCACAGGAGATCTCAGTTCCGACCTGGGACTCCACCCCAAATTCCCAAAAATCCTTGGCACACCCCTTTTCGCACTTCCAGGCCCCGATCCCACTCCGATCAGGAAGTCGCGCTGGGCGTGAGGTTTGGGTGTCACAACGCTCTCTCGGCCCAGCGGAAACAGCGGCCTACCGGTAGGGAGGTGTCCAGGACCCATTCATGTATTCATTGATCATGCCGTAAAAGCTCATAGACGACTGGTCCTCATGCAGCCAATGAGCAATCTTTGCGTGCGGACATAGTGCACTCCGGCTGCTGGTAGCTCGCGCTCAAGAAAGATATAATTAGGGGAGCTACAGGCTCAGACTTTCATCACAACGAGGCCAGGAAATTCCCACTACCGTCTTCACCCAAATAGAATGCCCGGTCATTATAGCCGTATTTGGTGCAACGTTCAGTCCAGATACAACTATAATAACCGGGCGTTCTCCTCAGGTGAAGACGGTAGTGGGGGTTAGTCCTCCTTTCAAGTATTTTTCAATGTGGCCACAGTACGGCTGCGAGATGTTCAGATCGGATGCCAACCCCCACTAGCGGGGGTTAGTTTTCCTTTCAAGTATTTTTCAACCTGGCCACGGTGACAGCGTGGCTGCAAGATGCTGAGTCGTGGCCGCAGTGCGGACTCAAAATCAAGTCCTTTTTTTTACCCTATCTTTCGAAGGGCAACGGCCTTGAGATGTCATGATTACGGAACTGATCGCCCCGGGGTAATTCAGAGTTATTCCATTCATCTGATCTCCATATTAAGTTCTGGACTGTTGATAGATAGTGGATTGGTGTACAATTCAGCCACACGGACTTGGTGAAACCAAAGTCTAAACTCGCACTGGCGGGGCGTAGGGCATACTCACAGTAGGACTTTTCTAAATGTGGCATACTCACACTAGGACTTTTCTAAATGTATGTGACTGCAATTACGGCCAGACCTGGATGAATCTGCCATCAATCACGTCCGGAGCTTAGTAGAAAAAGTTATACTGCGAGCAGGCACCTCCCGAACATAACGCACCCTGAAATTGAACGTATGCAAGCTGTATTTCCGGTCCCGTACAGCCAAGATGAGGGTGCGTTGTGTTCCGGGGAAGAGGGTAGTCCCTGGGGGAAACCTCACAAGGAACCCCGACAACCCTTTCTTTTTTCTTTTTCCCAAAAAGGGCAACAGCCTTTGCATATCATCATTGAACTGACTGGCCCCAGGTAATTCAGAGTTATTTTATTCTGTTCATCTGATCATGGGCCTGGCCACACTACTAACGAAAGTGGCTGTGTTTTCGGGAGTGCAGCATCACCACACCAGCTCCCGAATTCGATCTGTCAGATAGAAATAGAACTGGGGAGCTGTGAGAGCACTCCCCAAATGACACCGGCTCCTGAGAGCACTCTCCAAAGCTGCGTTTTGGAGAGAGCTGCAGGCACACTACTCCCGAAAGTGGCAGTGGCTGTTTTCGGGAGTGCAGCGTCACCACACCAGCTGCCGTGTTGGACAGAACTTGGGAGCTGTGAGAGCAGTCCGGCAAATCACAACGGCTCCTGAGAGCACTCTCCAAAGCTGCGTTTTGGAGACAGTTCGTGCGTACCAGATTCGTGCATGGAGATCGGAGGGGCAAACAGACGCCTGTTGGACTGCTTTGCACTGAACATGTCTGGATGTGGCAACCGTCATTTTCAGACTTGGAGAGCGGCCCGGGGCTCGGTCCCACCGGCGCATTTTCGTTGAAGGAGGCTACCACGAAGAGAATGGTGGGCGCCTAAGGACCATGGACACAAAGAGAATGGCAGACGCCTAAGGACCATGGATTGACACAATCGGTGGTCCCTGGACGTCCGCCAGTCGCTTCGTGGTAGCCTCCTACAACCGAGCCCCCGTTTGAGAGTGCAGTGTGGCGAAAGGGAGGGGGGACTCGCGAGCGTGAAATGTTCCGGGAGCCCTCCCCGAAATCTTTTAGAACTCGGGAGTGATGTAACACTGGCGGGTGGACTCGAACTTGGGCCTCTATTTCAAGGGTTCATGGGTGTAAGAAAAAAAAAAAAGAAAAAAAAAAAAAAGAAAAAGAGAAAAAAGAAATGCGGAAAGGCCCCACATGTGGACTCGAACTTGGGCCTCTATTTCAAGGGTTCATGGATGTACCAACTGAGCCCGTTGGTTAGAAAACCCATTTATTGGGAGCTTAGTTCGCGCTCAGAGGTTGGGTCCCCTAGCGTCATAAATCGACGGCTAAGATTCAGCCTCCTCGGAGTCCTCGTTCGCTGAGCTGAGGGCATAGATCCTCGCTGAGCGACTCTCCACACGGACAAAAGACGAGAGATGTGGGTGTGTATTGGCAGTGTATCTTCCCAAGTGTCGATTCACTCTCATTTGGTGAGTGGCCGGGGCCGAGGTCCCACTACCAACGAGGATCGGATCGAATGCCTAAATCTGGATGTGTTTTATGCACAGGTGCAGAAAACCAGTTCAATCTCGATTTCCTGCACCTCTCCACAAACACGTCCAGATTCAGGCATTCGATCCGATCCTCTCTGCTGGGGGACCACGCCCCGGAGCGAGGCCCATACTCCACACCGGACTGTGGGACCGACGTCTGGGCGGTCAGTGCATGCAGATGTATATATTCGTAGTCGTGATTTTTGTTTTTTTTTGTTTTTTTTTGTAGTAGTCGTGATTTCTCTCAGAGGACCTCGCTCCGTTACTCATCGAATGTGCAAAATGAGAATGAATCTTTCCGTAGAAGATGGAAAAGTACACAGGCGTATCTTTTGTCCTTTGTGCGTGTCGGGAGTAGTCGAGTGAGCGCTCCTTCACTCTCGATCTCGACATGCACAAAAGGCAAAATATATTTCCAAGCTCTAGCTGAACATTCATCCTCATTCATCCTCATTCATCCTCATTTTGTGCAAAATGAGAACGACCTTCCCGCTAATACATGGCCAGATGCCCGCCCACAGTTTTGTCGTTTTCACATTTCGATCGAGACTGGTGTGCCCCTCGGTGGCTGCCGCTACTGTAGAGTTCCATCGATGGCGCTATCATCCCGACTCTCACCTTTCACTTTTGTTGACGTCCGTTACTCTCTCGCAGCTCGTCGCATCCACCCTTCTGCCAGCGGTAAATTTTAGCGGTAAATTTTGGCGGTAAAAACTCTAGACGACGCACCTGCTGCATGCACACGTTTCGAGCGGCGGCGCCACGTGTTACAAGCGCGGGAAAATTTCCCGCCATCGTTATCGTCTCCTTGTCGGCGCTTCGCGCGATGCTTACGCTCGCGTTCGGCGGAAATCGCTTGTCCTTAGTGTACGGCCGCGCGCTTTTCTTCTCTACGCCGTGCGCTGGGACACACGTAAGACGTACGCCTGAGAAGACAAGCGCGAATGCGCGGCGAATGCGTGGCGCGGCGCGGGGCGGGGCGGGGCGGGGCGGGGGGGGGCGGGGGCGGGGCGGACTCAGCGGAGCTAGATTCGCGATTGAATTGGCAACCTGTCCGGCGCGCACGCATGAAGACACGTGATTGGCTTGACAGCGCACGCGCGAGGTAGGCGCGGGCCGGAGAGAGAGAGAGAGAGAGAGAGAGAGAGAGAGAGAGAGAGAAGGGGTTGTGCCTGTGGTTAGTGCGAGGTGGGGGAGGAGGGCGGGGAGGGGAAGGGGATGAACGTGACGAATGATGGTAAGGATTTGATGGGGGTGGGTATGCTGGTTCCGGCGCCCGGTGTGGCGCAGGAGGACTACGCGAAGAAGATCCGAAAGCCTTACACTATCACCAAGTCCAGAGAGAGCTGGACAGAACAAGAACATGAGAAATTCCTCCAAGCTTTGCATCTGTGAGTACCGCCGCCATCTTCGTCATTGACTAGCCCCTTCTTTTCGGAATCTCTGCGCCCGACTCTCTCCACCGCTCCTAGGAATCTACTCTTCCTATCGTTCTTTTTTTGGTGTGTGTTTGGGTGTGTGTCCGCGTGCGTGCGTGTGCGTGTGTGTGTGTGTGTGTGTGTGTGTGTGTGTGTGTGTGTG